AGAAATCATAAATAAAGTTAAACAAACTAAAATATATTGTACAGTTTGATATCTTCCGAAACGTTCTATTTTTGTAAAAATGTCACTTTTATTATCACTTTCCTCACTTTTTACCGCCGTCATGATTATTTTTTTTTATTTAGAAATTAATATAATTTTTTATATTTTTATTACGTATAGTTTTGCTATTCGTATATACGTCGCACGCCTACGTGTACGGACGCTAACTTAATTCTGCGTCCGGTACGCTATTATCAAACGACAAGATCGTAATAATTCGGAATTCATGAAACAAATACGACAACTCAGTATAGATACAGTTATTACAATAAATATACATTAAATAGGTTATGTCATGAGGACGACGTGTACCGCAAATTTATCTTCTTTAGTGGAAAATTCAATATGTATTTGACTTAAAAAAGTAAGTGCGATAAAACTAATCACAAAATAAATGTAACTAAATATTTGATGTTGTGCTGCAATTTAAATTAGAATAGTGTTATCCTTTATAAATAATTCTTAAGTTAATTAAAAACTTTCGTATGTTCTAGTAGCTTTTTAATACAGTAAAAATACCTTTACATAAGATAATCATTAAGGTTTACTATGATATATTTTTATTTTAAAATGTATGTAGTTTAAACCTAATTGAAACATTGAGCCTAACGAAACAAAAACTATTTTAATGGATATCAACAGGTTTTGCCCTATATGTTAAAAATTGGTAAGTATAGTAGGTGGTCTTTAATAGAATAGCATGTATCTAACCTAGTTTTTATCACTGACTATATCAAAGTCGAATGTTGCATGAATTTTAATATCTATAGGTACGTATCTGTGAATAGTGATAAACGTTATTTAAGAGCTACAGAGCCTATATAGCTTATAGTACACCAAGAACTTCAAATAGAAACTGAAATATAATCGATCTGGGTTGTTCGGGCTACTTGTTTTAATATTGTATTTTAACTCGTCCTCAATATGTTAAGTTAATTTAGAAATAGGTATCAATGCATACTTATACTATAAGTCCTTATCTCTTTACCGGTAGGTAATATAATCATTGAATTATTCCGTTTAAATATTTAATTGTAAGTTAATTCTATTGACTATCTACTTAGGTACTTTTACATTTTAAAACGAGGTAGGTATGAGGTTGACGACTTTTACTGATAGGAAGCGTAGTTTTTGTAAGGAGAAATTCTTTAGTTAAATTGAGACTTACATTTACAATTTATGAGTAAATTATGTAACTATATTTTTGAAAATGGCTGTTCAACTTTAATTTGGGTAAATTACAGGTAGATAAGGAAACTTGTAGACCAGTGTACCTACTTATTTACTTCAACTTGTAATACTTTAAGTACCTGCATAATAATTAATATAGGCTATATTATTATCAGATATGCAATGGGCACAACTTTAGTAAACTTAAGTTGCAGTGGGCCAGGAAGGACAGTTTATATCTGTGGGAGAGCCGATGACAATCGGGTAGACAGTAGTAGATACATTATAAAGTAGAGACATAATAAGAAATAAAGAAAGAGTTCAATGGCGTGCTATATTTGCTGTAGATGTTAAGGAAAAGTTGGGCTTGCGCGATTACGAATTCTCAGAAGATGTAGGTATCGTCATTTATCAATAAATTAAGAAGTAGGTGGGTATATATAAGGACATATTTTGTTTTTTACCATTAATTTTGTAATAATTGACGTTTGGCCACTAACTCACCTTGTCGTTGTGGGCAATTTTATCTGTTCTTTGTGTCAAATGATGGATCGCCCTGCCTCTTTTTGTGGTAACATGCTATATTTACGTGGCTATAATTTTACTGATGTATTTGATTATCAAATCAAAAGCCTATAACTGCTATGAAATGCCTGCAGGTTCGGTTTAGACAAGGACCAGTTTTCTGTATTCCGATTCTGGTTGTGATGTGTATTTCGTAAACGTACCCTGGACGGAAGAAAGTATCACCTTTTAGTAGGTTTTATAGAACAGATGACAATCCCCTTGTCTATGTAAAATGCTGAATTTGGTTAATCTACGTTGTTGGAAAAAAAAAATAGAAAAAAAATGTAATCTATAATGGCTATACGATTATTAGTAATAATCATATAATTTATTACATTAGTATTATTCACTTTTTTCGATACGTCCGATGTCCTTTTTTATTTTTTTGTAACTTTTTCTAAAATCCACAATATAACGCGGACACTCAGACTTGTTTTATTAATGCAGGTGATTTATTATCTATTTTAGGTAGGTGCACTGAGATAATCTTTTTGCGCGCTCTTCGAATAAATCTCCAAAAATTTACATTTATTTTATTTTATTCATTCCACAAGTGGCCCGTGAGATTGAATCTTAATTCGCCTTTATTCGATATTTGCTTGCTGAGTAGGCTCAGCATTAAGTATTTAGCATTTAAGCAGAGATGTGTCTTTGTGAGAAGGTTCATATATATCGATCAGGAGAATCAAGTTCGTTAACCTTATACTTTTATAATTCCGCCTTTCTATACAATTTTGTGACGTAAATGATCACCTGATAACGTAGTTTAAATTTCTTATATTTTATTATTACTTTAGAGGGAGGTTCACTAAGTAAGTAAGTCGTGGGTGCGCAATATTCGGGAGTGCACTAGTATCAGCTCTGTGCAACAACTTTTCCGCCAATGACAAGAACCAATTCAAAAAGTTGACGGCCAACCTTCAGGAATGAAGTGGCACCATAAGAAGAAGAAGAGGGGATTCAAAGAATTCAAAATTGCTGGGTAGATAGACATTTCAGATACCTACTTATTATAAACAGTCCGTCGCATCATTTAATCGCCTTGCATTTGAAATACATCAAAATAATTAAAAAAATTAACTTCGAAAAATACAGGTGTATTTACAGGTAGCATTGTATGCATTTTGTGCTGCTAGACTATTGCACAATATGTCGTAGTCTATGGACTATAAGTCCAAACAGTATGCTATTTGGACTTGGGGTCATGTCTAATTCCCACATGGAATAACTAATTCATTTTTTCCACAAGTTCTGAACTGTTCCGGGTTTAGGTGTGATGTGCATGTTTTGAATTTAATTTTACAATATAAGAGAAAATCCTAGTGCAGGCTGTGTGAGTCTGAGAACCGTAAAAACTGCACTTTCACTCCAGTATTTATCTATTCGGCATTCATGTGCATTACCGAATCAATGGCGTCACAATAATGGATTTTTTTTTTTTTTTTTTTTTTTTTTTTTAAGGGGGGAAAATCATCGAATGACTGCCCCCGCCTGGGTGAGGCGGGAGGGAGTGTCAGACTCTTACTGACTAAAAACCACCCCGTTCCTTCTCCTGCACGTCGAGCCGGAGCCCCGGTTACCCGTTAGGTTCTCCGCGACTCCGAATCGGCATCGGCCCTATTGGGCCCCATCTGTGGTGGTCTGATGGCTCTTTGAGGCGCGCGCGGAACGCGACGCGCCGTACGCTCGGGTCTGTTTCTGGTCGGACGGGGAGCCACCCATGCTCGCCGTCCGCAGGCCCGCGCTTACGGTGGCCGGAGATCGTCCCGCGATCCCCGACGCCCGGTGTGTCCTTCGCGATGGCTGGGTTGCGAGGAGGCAGCGCTTCGCTGCCTCACGCGTCCCGCCTCCTCCTTAGCTAGCATGACTGCTTCGCAAAAGGAGGAGACGGCATCCCAATCCCCCTCGCTCCGCATCATGGCCTGCACTAGGCCCGGACGCGAGAGGTCGCCATCGCCGATCACTTCCCTGAGGACACGGCGGTGCTCAGCCCACGAAGGGCATTCTCCCACCGTGTGTTCCACCGTGTCCTCAGGGCGGTCCTCGCAGTGATGACACCCGGGCGTTTCCTCCCGCCCCATCAGACACAGGTACCTCCCGAAACTTCCATGTCCGGTGAGGACCTGCGTCAGGCGGTAGGTGAGGACGCCGTAGCGTCTCTCAAGCCACTCCTCAAAGAGGGGACTTACCGCTGCGATGGCAGCGAGCCCACACAATAATGGATAGAGACTACAAATATCATTGACAAAAAACCGTTGGTCAGAAAACAGAAAATGTGATAAATAACAGAACAGTTTATGGTGGTAATTTATGCATTGGGAGAACACTGAACATGCTAACGGAGGTGTGGCTATGACGTCATAACGGTTAGTATCCTAGTTTTCATTAGAAGCACGTGACAAACTTTTAAGTAAATACAGCATAGAGTTTGAAGCTCAAATTAATTCACACATTTTCTTGGTGATTGTTTAGGCAAGTTAACCTCATTTAAAAATATCCGATAATTGTTTTCAAGGCTCATGTGCCTATGAGCTTAAGATTAGAAGCAATTTTCTTCTAACTTTAGGCTGGTATGTCAAGGTAAACATTGTATCGTAAAATATTTTAAAAGCCTACCGTGTGTGTAGCGTGTGTAAGCGTGTATCCTCATTGATCTATCTTATTGAAAACAAATATTTACTTTTTATAATATCTATCGTGAGACATAGTAAATTAACTAAAATCACGGGTTACTGTCTGAACCCCTCTGTGGTTCGAAACTAGTAGAGCTTTTCTCAGTGTATTCACGTGAGTAAGCCGTGTCTTTAGTTATAATATTTACTTTTCTTTATGATACGATATCTCCGAAAAAATCCTAACGGGTAACCGGGGCTCCAGCTCGACGTGCAGGAGAAGGAACGGGGTCGTTTTTAGTCAGTAAGAGTCTGACACTCCCTCCCGCCTCACCTAGGCGGGAGCAGTCATTCGTTGATTTTTCCCCCTTAAAAAAAAAAGCTCGAACATTTGGTAACATAAAAAAATTGAATAGCGCCATCTAGTGTGCAAAAAAAGATCACAATTTAGGATTTGTGTATGGCAACATTACCAGAATGTAGACAAGTTTTATGTGTGTGAATCCGAACGCCATACCAGTAAGCATAGAGAATCAAGTTGCTGTTCTGTTTTATCTGTATCGGTTGAACTGTAATCTGTAATGTCAAATTTGGCATTTCGAAATGGCGGTCAACGTATCATCGCCACTGTAAACAATAAATTAAAAGTTAATGCTGAAAACGCTGGCATTCTATAAAAAATGCATATAAAACAGGTATATTTAAGTGATTTTCCCCACTGTTTTAATAGTAAAGTTATAGTTATGCTAGTATAAAGTAAATTGTGGTAACTTAGAAGTGACGCTAATGTAAGTGCCTCTGTTTATAGGTGATAATCCAAGGTTTCAAGAGTTACCGGGAACAAATTGTGGTCGAGCCATTCGACAAACGGCACAATGTCGTTGTTGGCAGAAATGGTTCGGGAAAAAGTAACTTTTTCCATGGTAAGTAGTTAATGTGACATGCTTGTCTATCACTGCTAGCCAAACAAAGTCAACACAAAACAGAAGGAATTTTTTTTTTTTGAATACGCTGCGTTATTGTCAAATTCATAATAATTATATTTAATTTCCAGCTATACAATTTGTGTTGAGTGATGAGTTCTCTCATCTAAGACCGGAGCAACGTCTGGCCCTGTTACACGAAGGCACAGGCCCGAGGGTCATTTCGGCCTTTGTAGAGATCATATTCGACAATTCTGATAATAGGATTCCAGTAAGTACAGTTTTACAAGTATCAAGTATAAACAAACTAAGATTACATTTTTGCAGGTTTGGTACGTAGTGATTGTATGGGGATATTATAAGTATAGGTCAATGTGTTGATGAATACTAAGTTGTAGATATAGTAAAATTTAAACTATGAATTTTTAACCTGTTGAAAATCATCCCCTAAATTTGTTCATACAAAAGTAATCACTAAACATTGGTAACCGGGATATATGGGTTAACATCCAATAACTGAACAAATTGTGAATATAACATTTAAAACTATACATTTTCATATTACATTGCTACATATAATAAATAAAAATTCTTTAAACATGTTTTTCAATACATATTTAGATTGAGAAAGATGAAATCTTTCTGCGCCGTGTTATTGGATCAAAGAAGGATCAGTTCTTCCTCAACAAGAAAGTAGTACCTCGGTCCGAGGTGCTCAACCTGCTGGAGAGTGCTGGTTTATCCAACTCCAACCCATACTACATTGTCAAACAGGGAAAGGTAAATAATTATTGCTTTTTTCTAATTAGAATAAGGTTTCTCTTAATTTCTAAATCATTCTTACAAATATTACTGGGTTTTCTAAAATTTCTCCGTAGTAGCATGGTTTATGGCAATAGGCTCACCCCCTATTATATGGGACTTATAATATAAATAGTGAAAAGTGGGTGTTATATTGTACAGTGGCATAATGTGCACCTCTGCCTACACTTTCGGGGATAAAAGGTGAGATGTTATGTTATGTTCTAAAATTTCTCAGTAGTAGCATGGTGTCTGGAATTGTGCCTGGTATAATATGGAAGGCTCACCCCCTATTACATGGGACTTATAACATAAATAGTAATAAGTAGGTGTTACCTTGTATAGTGGCATTAAGTGCCATAGCGCCGTCTGCCTTCTCCGTCGAGGAAAAGGTGTGATGTTATGTGTTGTATGAATATTTTTATCCTCATTGTTATTATAGTTATTCAAATACACTTCTAAAGAAATATAGTTTTGTATTAGTACTGAGCCCTGCATATAACTAAGTATCATATTTTAAAATTATCCTATTTGTTTTAAATGTTTACATTTAAAGCAAAGATTATATGAGATTTGAGATGAAATTAGGTGACATGTTTTATTTTTTTTTCTTTTTTCCACAGATTAATCAAATGGCCATAGCGCCTGACTCCCATAGATTGAAGTTGCTAAGAGAAGTGGCTGGAACCAGAGTGTATGATGAGCGCAGAGAGGAGTCCGTCACCATTCTCAAAGAAACTGTTGGAAAGGTACATACTACTTATGTTTTTACACTCATCTTTTTTTCATGTCATTGGGGCTTTTGATAACTTTAACAGTTAGTATATAGTGAAAGTCTTAATTCTTTGTGTAAAAGAAATATTTGCATTTCTATAGTACATGATATACTCTAATTGAAATCCATATGTTTTCGGCTTACTCACGTAATTATTTGACGAGGAACTCGACTAGTTTCAAGCTATGCTAGAGGCTCATATTCATGAGCAGCATTTCGCGACCTGCTACGCGGCGACTGTCGCACTGTTACTGAGTCTTGTCAAATAACTAAGTGAGTACGCCGAAAACATAATAATTTATTTAGTATGTTGTTACAAAAGTTATACAAATTGAAATCCTGTTCCATTTTTTACTTAATACATCATGAAAGGAAGATTACTTACATATACTTATTTAAAACTCCTGCATGAAATTCTTTTATTGGATAGGTGGAAAAAATCAACGAATTCTTGCAAACAATAGAGGAGCGTTTGAAGACTCTGGAGGAGGAGAAAGAGGAGTTGAAGGAGTATCAGAAATGGGACCGAGCTCGGCGAGTGCTGGAGTTCATCATACATGACACAGAACATAGGGAGAACAAGAGGAAGCTTGAAGAGGTGAGATAATATTTGTGAATGATTTAGAAAAAAAAACTGCTTTAATTGTTGTACACTTGTACATTTATCAAAGTTGTGTAGTCAGATAGTAAATTAACCCATTGAAAATTGTTGAAAATCATACCCTAAAGTTCATACAAAAGTATTCTCTAAACATTGGAAATAAGGTCTATAATGTAGTTAGTGGAGGATTAATATATGGGTTATTTTTATTTACTAGCTTCCAGACCATAACCTACTTTGTTCTAAATTTCATCCCAATTTCTTTAGCAGTTTTAATGTGAACAAATAAACAAATAAAGTATAAACTTTTGCATTTATAATTACACATATATTTGCCATTGTTATATTAATGTGTAACCTCTTTAACACGTTAAACGCCATGGCAGTCACCGGTGACCGACATTAGCGGAGGATTTGCCTTCAACAGTTTTTTATTGGCAGCCAATGCCTTAATAAAGCCATGTCCTTAATTTAACTACATATTCTTATTTGCTGTTGTTTCAAGTTTTCATTTAATAATGTTGTATTAATGTTTAGCTGGAGAAAATGCGCTCAAACAGCGGTAAAGAGCAGCAACACTATGCCGACATGGTCAGAGAGGCTCAGGAACATGTCAGAGAAGCTAACAGGTAATTTATACTTAACTAGCGACCCGCCCCAGCTTCGCACGGGTGCAATATGCATGTATTATATATGTAAACCTTCCTTAAGAATTACTCTGTCTATTAAAAAAACCGCATCAAAATCCGTTGCGTAGTTTTAAAGATCTAAGCATACATAGGGACAGACAGACGGCGGATAGCGACTTTGTTTTATACTATGTAGTGATGTGTTTTTAAAATCAATCTTTCTACTATTTTAAACATAGATTTTATAACCCTCTGTGTAAATTTTTGAAACTTCAATTTTAGATAAGACAGAAATAAAGCTCTTGAACAAAATAAATCACCCATTTATGATCTTATTTTTCCATTGCATAAGGTTTTACATATTGAGATTAAATATTTCAGGAAGCTAAAGGACGCCCGTAAGGACGTTGCCGCGGCCCGCGAAGAGAAAGACATATTGTCTACAGAGCAGCAACAGTTGTTGAGAGAGAAGACTAAGTTAGAACTTGGTATCAAGGACTTGTCCGATGACGTCGATGGAGACAATAAATCTAAGGTAAGATGTGCACTTATTTATCTTGTTATTTGATCTTACAAAACTTGTCAAATGTCTTATTGCTAAATTAGATTTGTACATAAACAATTATTTCTGTTAAGAATCTGTAAACCTTTAGCATTATTTGTATCTTTTTGGATTATTTTTGTTTTATTTCTTAACTAGCTTTTACCCGCGGCTTCGCTCGCGTCACAAATGGATAAAAAGTAGCCTATGTGACATATACCAATACACACAGCGCCATCTATACCAATACTTTTGTTTTCCCTCAATTATTCCGGGATAAAAAGTATTCTATTATTTAATCCAGACTTCTAATGTCTGCAAAAATTCAAAGCAATCGGTTAAGTGGTTACGGCGTGAAAGCGGAACAAACAAACAAACTCACTTTCCAATTTATAATATTAGTAAGGATAACATGACAATTCAATCAATTCACGATTAAAAACGTTGTTACGTATTTAAAAAAAAATGTGTATAATATCAATATGATCACAATAAAATATCTATTACACCCAATTATAATTCTAACATAATATCTTTAGGAACGCGCCGAAGGAGAACTCGAGCGTCTTCGACAACAGATAGCTGAGAAAGAACGTGAATTAGAAGAGTTGAAGCCTAAATACGAGGAGATGAAGGCTCGGGAGGAAGAATGTACGCGAGCTCTGGCACTCAACCAGCAGAAGCGACAGGAACTCTACGCCAAGCAGGGCAGAGGCACGCAGTTCACATCCAAGCAGGACAGAGACAGATGGATTGAGAAGGAACTCAAGTATGTAGCATCATATAATTGTTCACTGTTAGATATAAGCATCTATAGTAGCAGTACTCGCGGAGAACCTACCGGTCGTGGACAACCTAACGGGTAACCGGGGCTCCGACTCGACGTGCAGGAGAAGGAACGGGGTGGTTTTTAGTCAGTAAGAGTCTGAAACTCCATCCCGCCTCACCCAGGCGGGAGCAGTCATTCGATGATTTTCCCCCCTTAAAAAAAAGTAATCCGGTTTTTAACCCGACTTCCCTAATAAATAAAATAAATATATTTTTTTTATTCAAAAGTTTAATCAGGAATTACATATACATTATTGCTATATATTTTTTGCATAATCTACATTAAACTGTCAAACACCAAGCGGTCACCGGTGACCGCAACCTATTGTTCTATAATTGTGTCTATAATGACGGTACTCAACTCTACTCAAGTTAATAAAGAGGAGGTTCTCAATTCATTCGTATATTTTTTTATTTGTCTATTGGTGGTTAGCATGGTTGTGCCTGGTTTTTGGCTAAAATTCTGATTCAGTTAAATTAGAAAATATTATTATATAGTTGATTAGTACTATTACATCAATAGTTTGTAACAAGACTATTGGCCTTCTCTACATTATACTATTAGCCCTAATTATACTTGGCAGACAGGTTGTATAAGAGTTTGCAGTTATATGGTTCATGTTTTATGGTTGGTGCGGTGGCTGGGCAACAGGCTACCGCGCAACGTGTCGCGGGTTCGATTCCCGCACGGAACAACTCTTTGTGTGATCCACAAACTGTTGTTCCGGATCTGGGTGTAATGTGTATGTGAACTTGTATGTTTGTTAACGCACCCACGACACAGGAGCAAATCCTAGTGTGGGGCATTGTTTAAAAAAAAGTACTACTCTTGTTTTTACATAAATTGTTAAGTGAATCTTGTTACAGTACAGTTATTATTAACCTTAACTTAAGTACTTGGATAAGTACTAAATACCAATTTACATTTTCCAGGTCTCTAAACAAACAAATAAAAGACAAGAAGGACCACGAGACGAAACTCCGTGATGACCTTCGCCGCGACGCCACCAAGTTGACAGAGTTGGAGAAGAGAATAGAAGAGACTACGAAGGAGATGGAAAGACAAAGAGTCGCTATAGACGAGCATAATAAACAGTATTACGAGTGCAAGAAGAGGAAGGATCAGGAGCAGAGTGCTAGGAAGTAAGTGCTGTGTAACTTTAATACATAATTATTGTTATTGAAACAGTATTTTTGTATGGCTAAGACCTTTAATAGATTTTTAACCTTATTCCATTGCAATACAGTTGATAATATCCATTAGTGAAATATCTGGTTTTTGAGACACTGGTGATTAACACATTATTTTATTTTTAGTGAATTATGGCGTAAAGAAACGTCTCTGACGCAGAACCTGTCGTCTTTGAAAGAAGATTTGGCTAAAGCTGATCAAGCTCTGAGGTCTATGGCGGGAAAGGTACGTTTAAGCACTTTCTGGATATCGGACTTTGCATTCGAATGTAGATTCAAATTACATAACA